AGCCAGCATCTCACCCCAGAAAATGTGATGGAGTGTTTATAATACCCTCATGGAGTAACACAGCCTGGTTTTACTAAGGACTTAGTGGGGTAGTAACTGGCTGTCAAGGAACAGAATGATGCCAGTCTAAACAGAGCTTCTCCCACTGAGATTTGACCTTAATCCTTTTGGAATTGATATTATTATGTCGGACCATGTCACGGCCAAGTTAAGGCCTTAATGTAATTCAAAATGAAAATATTAAATCACAAGACAGGTTTAAGAAAGTCCAATAATACCACTTTTCCTTTATGGTAATGATTCTGGCTTTTTGGCTTATTTTTAAAATACAGTAAGTATTAAATTCTTTGCAAGAGCTTTTGTCATGCTGTGCCACTTTATTGGTGCCTTCCACACCAGCTTAGTGTCCCTGGGGTCAGTGCAGACCCCAGCAGACCCAGGGAAGTTTCCACAAATTTGTGAAAGACTCAAAGCCAGAGGGGCAACTAGTAAGCTGATAAACAGAAATTTGAAATGATTGGAGAGATGGGCCAAATTGACCAAGATGAGAATTCAACAGATTGCTTTCTCTTAGGTCCAGGAAATCAACTACTCATTTGTAAAGTAAAGTAAAGAATGGGGAAGTCACAGCTTAGCAGCAGCATCTATAAAGACTTAGAGTGGGATCCTAGAAAACAACCAACACTGGCAGGAAAGACCCCAACACGGCGGAAGAGTGACGGGGAGGATGTGGAATTGGGGATGCTTTTTATTTTCTTCTATGTGCTTTCCTTTATCTTCCAAATTTCTTAATATGATAATGACTTTAATAATCATAAAAATATTTAAAACCTGCTGCTAATTTAGGCACCACGACTATAAATATGGTCTCTAATAATGGACTCAACCGTGCAGCCCTACTGTGCACCACTCCTAGACTGAGCTGCCTCTGGGTGTTACAGTTTAGAGCTGAGCAGCCAGCACAGTGAGTGGCTTGGAAACCATATCAGACAAGGAAAGTGCGCAGGAGAAAGCGCAAAGTGAAAACTTTGGGGAGGGGGCCTAGGACTTGAATGCTGTCTTCAAACATGCCAGCGATGACCTGTACACGAGGACTATTGGGAGACAGATGTCTGCCCCCAGAGAACAAAGTGCAAAACTGGGCAGATGCTTCATGGGGAACAGGAAAGAGAATTCCAGCACAGAATGTGCAGCTGAACTAGCTGACTCTCAGGACCTTTCTCAGCCTTAAGCTAGAATTTTTATAAATCGACAATGTTCTATCAGATTCTTCTTCAAAATCAAATTTTTGAGCTGGTGAAATCTCACTGCAGTCTGTGGTTTAGTTAACAGTATTGTACCAATGTGAATTTCTTGGTCTTCACAAATATACTGTGGTCATCTGTATTGATGTCAAATGTACCAAATGACATTCAAGGAAATTGACTGAAGGGTTTCTCTATCTTATTTTCTATCCTATTTTCGCACCTTTTCTATAAACCTAAAATTATTCCAAAATAAAATGTCTATTAAAAAAATCAAAATTTTGAACTCCACTCTACATAGAAGAGCTTTTCTCAGACTATAGGTCACAGTGTGTCTGAGCTGAGAGTATCAGAATTGTAATCTATATTTGTGATTTACAGTTTGTGAAACATACATTATTTTATCTCCACTCCAAGAATGTGATGTGAGTAGAGTTGGCATCATCATGTACAAGCCAGAAAACGGAGGCAGCTCAGCAAACTTCATCAACTAGCCCAGGATCACTCAGCAGCTGGGAGGCCAGGCTTCAAACATGTCTCTTCATTCCAAGGTTCTTTCCACCACACACTACCAACTCTCCAACCTCTGGAACCACCCCGGCTCTGCCTCCAGCTGAACATTTTGTTTATGTGCCCACTGGCTTTGGTTCTCCAAGTTTTACTGCAGGATGGAAAGAGTATTCACTGTAGCACTGTTTGTGAGAGTGACACATTTCTGAATGTCCACCAGCAGAGGAATGATTGCGTAAATTATAGGCCATTCATTCTGGAAAAAGTATACAGTTGTTAAAAAGAATGTGGTAGATCTGCAATTACTGGTCAGAATATACGGTTAGACGAAAAAAGCAAATTGCTAGGGCCGTAAGTGTAATATGATTACATGCTTGTCAAAAAACTAAAATAAAATAAAATTACAAATATATATATGTATATATATATATAAATATAAAATTAAATATATGTGTATATATATATATAAAGTCTAAAAGGCTATTTCCTGAGGGGCATATAATAGCTTTTTAATGATAAAACAATGACAACAAAGTAAACCAAGTTCAGGAAACCTGGCATAAAAGAGGGGAAATGGCTTTCAGCTTTCCCCCCATTATCTCCTGTTCCCACCCCATTTCTCTCCGGTCTCATCTTCCAGACAAAGGAAGAGTAATGTTACTGTTTCTTCCCTTCTCAGGCTTAGAAAGACAGTAGCACCGATTTTCTTTAAAGTGGAAGGCCTGGGGCAGGGATTGTAACAAAATTTGAGATTTGAGGCTCCACCCTAATCCTAGCCAACAGCAAATGAACTTCAAGATCTATTTGGCTCACTCACTCCCCCTTTTTTTTCTTTGTTAACCTAGATACCGGTTGGTTTCTTTGTGGCCCTTGTTCCAGGGCTAAATCACTTATCACTGAGGCATCAGATCCTTTGCCACCTGAGTCTGCCAACCTACTTATTTGCTCTAGCCCTGCCCAGCAAAGGGTGGCTCCCCAGCTCTCCTTTCCCGGGGAACCGCCCTGGAATTCTGCTCCCTTTCTCCTTCCTTCTCTTTCATGTGCCCTGGCCATGGGGTGGAGTGACTGAGAGCATTATACCATGACGGCAAGAACACAGGCTCTGGAGGAAATCAGACTTGGCACAAGATCCTGCCCCTGCCATTAGTAGCCGCGTGACCTTGGGAGAATTTCTTAATCTCTGAAAATGTCTTTACTTCCCTGAACCTCAGTTACTGCTTCTAGAAAAGGAGAATAAAATGTGCTCCCAGGGTTGTGATGAGGAATAAGCAAGATGACGAAGGCTGAGCGTCCAATCTAGTGTGCTTCGGTGGTGAGGGATAGGCTTTACCTGGTGGGGTAGGTGGAGCCCACTAGGCCAAGTTCCACTCCACTCTCCTGCCAACAGGGCAGCTAGGCACAGCTGGCCCCGTGCCTACAGTCCACAATACTTCTCGGGGCCTATGAAAACATTTTCTAATGATCTTAATTTCTTTTAAAATCAGAAGAAAAAAATGGAATGTTTTGGTCAAGGAAATTGTAATATTGTTATATCACTCAATTATTAATTAGAAATATAATCATTAATGTTTTTATCATATGAATATTATATTCTTCCTTACACCAATACAGTTGTAAAACACGACTTTAAATACTTTATCTTTTTTAATGAAGGAATGGGTCCACCAAGGCAGAAGTGGCAAGGGCCCATGAAAGTTATAGTGGGGCCCTCACTTTCAACCTTCTTAAAGGATATCCTCTTTAGGAGGTCTTTATAGATTGACTGGGGATGTGGGAGGGCATAAGTGGGGAGGTCGGGAGGAGACATGCAAGGCCCCCAGTGATCTCATGCTTCAAAGTACAAGCCCTCACCCTGTCTGTGATTTCTCCATTCTTGTCCCTAGACTTCCATGTGCTTGGACCCAGTGGGTAGGGGACTGTAAGATACATCCTAAAATATCACTTCATTCATGTTCCTCGTTGGGTCAAAAATGTAAATATACCACTCAACAAAACCAACCAGCCAATTAAAAAATGGGCAAGGACTTGCATAGACATTTCAACAGATGTAGAGACGCCAATAAGCACACGAAGTATTTAATACCACTGAACTGCACACCCCAAAACAGTCAAAATGGTAACATTTATATTATTTATCTTACCACAAAATTACAAAAAAAGAAAAACAAAGAATGTGAATAGTTCTCTCTTTTGCCCAAGTCCTAATTCCTCAGCGGCCTAAGCACCAGCTCTCTCCCCTACTGGCGGGTTTACTCTGGAGGCCCCCTGCCCTCTCCCCGGAATACCCTCCAGGGTACACGTGGTCTCTGCAGTTTCACAGCTGGGCGCTCTCCCCCTCGCTACTCATGAAGTCTGTACTGACCAATCTGGATTTTTACCCATTTCTTCCTTTTCTTATCTCTCAGCAGACACCTGAAGGTCTGAACTTTGTCCTCATCAGTCCCAGAGGACACCGTCTTAGACTTCCCCTGGAGTTCTCACTCACCTGTTTCTACATCAGTACAGCAGAGAGTATCTGTCCTTATGACAAGTGAGACTGCACATGAAAATAAAGATGTACAGACCAACCAAGGTCTGGTTCCTCCCTTACCCGAAGTAGCATGTGGCGAAAACAATCCATGCATATCTGACGGTTTGTTCAGCTCAGTTTGGTTATGAAATGAAAGGTGGGAATCCATTCTCAACAGGAAGGGGAACAAGAGGGGGATCCTTGCCTAAGGAACAAGGGTAACAACAGCTCTGGGGAACAAGCGGGTTTTGATTCTGTAGTGAATTATCAGAGGAGTGGAATTAGAAAGTGGCAGAATTCCTTTCTAGGACTAGGCGGGTTTTTATCTAACAAGCACTGGGTAATAATAGCCAATGTTACTGAGTGCTTACTGGATAGCAAACACTGCGCTAGGGGTTTTATATGGAGTATCTCATTTCATCCTCACAAATAACCTCTTAAGACAGGCACTGTTTCCCCCATTTTACAAATGAGTCTGGAGCTTAGAGGTTAGGTAACTCACTCAAGGTCACAAAGCTCTAAGTGGTAGGCCAGGAATTAGTCCAGGTCCATGAAACTTCAGATTCAAACTGCACTAAATGTGCACTCTGGTTGCCTTCTGCTTCCTCCCAGGACCTTTTCTGGTGTGAGGCAGGCAGAGAGTGGTGGGAGAGTCTTCCTATCTGGGCTGAGGCCTCGGGGAATTTCAGGACCAGGCTGGTGGTGGGGTAGTGGAACTGGAAAAGGCCGTCACCTACCTCCTGGAGATGGCGTGGTTGGGAGGCTAGTCATCTCAGCAAGTGGATGGGCACCTGCAGGGAGATGCAGATCTGTAGGAAGAGGGACAAAGACAGGAATGAGGTGGGTGAGTCCATGCCGGGGGCTGGAGACGACTGGATACCCCAAGAAAGACTTTGGTGTCAGGTTTTCCTGAGTCCCTTCCCCATGCCTCCTCCCCTTTGAGTATTTACCCCGAGATCCTTTCACTGGGCCACCACAGTCACCTAGGAGGTTTCTCGGGGCCTGATAAAGTTAGGTAAAGATACGCAAAGGACT